CGACCAAAACCCCCTGGCCTTGATGTCCGGTCTGGCGTTGTCCGCAGTGAGCAGGGCAGGACCATGGTCAAACGTGCGGACCGTCGGTAGAGGTTGCAGCGGTGGTTTGATGATAAAATTTAATAATAATAATAATAATAATAATTTGAAACTCGGGTATTGAGCCAATAATAAAAGTAGAAAGGAAAAGGACATAATTATGGAAACGAGTTAAGAGTAACTCTCCACCACTGTAACTAGATACTATATACAGTCAGAAAGTGCAACAACTAGGCACAAAACTGACAGAGTACTGAGACATTCGACGTCCTGACACCTAGCTTCAACACATCCCCGTAGCGCTAACCGACAGCCTTCCAACTTGGAAGGTTCAAGGTTATGGAAAGACCAAAGAGGGGAAGGCAAGCGCAACGAAAACGAGCACAAGCTACAGTCTCAACGGAACAAAGAATGTCGATTGTCACTGGACGATGACGAGACCAGTAGGCGATTTGACAAAGCGGTCTAACTACAATTCGAAGCAGCAAAGCAGCACACCACCCAACTTGGGTGGGTCAAAAATATCAAAGATAAGTTAAGAAGGGGGAAGCTTTGCGAGAACGAATTGTACAAGCCGAAGTCTAAACTCCTACAGTACTCCTCATCAGTTTTGTGCCTAGTTGTTGCACTTTCTGACTGTATATAGTATCTAGTTACAGTGGTGGAGAGTTACTCTTAACTCGTTTCCATAATTATGTCCTTTTCCTTTCTACTTTTAATAATAATAATAATGTGAAATTCATTTTGCCCGTACAAGAGGCTTTGCTCAGTGTACAATTAGTACAAAAAAAAAGTAAATTATCGTGTCCGTTCCCGAAGGGAACTCACGACGGCCGCTAACACCCGGTAAACCCTAGCGGCAGATGCAGTGCCTAACGGTGGGGGTGAGTGGATAAGTCTCACAACCACTGGCACAAGTGCCGAGAAACCCGACAGTTAGTAAAAGTGCAGTGTATGGTGTATGGTGTACTCCTGCAGGTTAGCCTGATGGGCTGCCGCCGGCTTAGCTTCAAATTCTACAACATGAATCTAAGCTTAGAAGCAGTGGTGAGGCTTCCTGCAGCTTCATTACTAGGCTATAGGGAAGAGGGTTTTGGAGCAGACCCGCTTGTTCCCGAAATTGATCGATAAACGAGTTCGATATTGTCAGTGCAGAGTGAATGGAAAAGAGCGGGTCTCAAAACCGGCAAACGGCTGTACACATACATGTAGTTTTGTACATAACGACTTCAAATGTTAACGAATTGTTTAAATTCGTTAAATGGTTAGAATTAAATGTTTGTTAACATTACTGGCCTTACTGTAGTTACATGCAAAGTTCAAAGTTGTACGGTTAGTAGCATTGCCATTGGTTACCTGTCACGGACTCAGTGTGCTCCTGCAGAGCTCAGAGTCTACCGTGTGCACATTGCAGTATGATGTGTATGCAACTGGTGTGCAATGCCCTCCCAAGTCTAGTTCAAGCGGTATCAGGTTGACAAAATCATCTATTGAAGGGTTGCCTAGCATCACAACCATAGTAACCACGACGACTGGGTGATAGTATTAACAAGGGGTGAAAGGGGTGATCCGGATACCCGTCTGTTCAGCAGCTGATCCGTTAGCAAACGAGTATCCGTTAGTCGTGTACGGCGGGCATGGTACGTTATAATGAGCTGGCTTGTACAGTCGTACAGTTTGATGTAAAGTTTGAATGTGTTGTTGCTGGTTTGATCCTGCTACATATGACAATTTGGATTGTTTTGCATGTAGTGAAGTAAGTGTGCATGCTGTGCTTGTCGCGATGTAGTGTACTTGCTGTGAATTGCATGACATCGCATTTCCTCCTGGTAAGAAATGTGGAAGGCTATTGTATAGCAACTGTTACTATTGGCTGCTAAAGGGTACCCGATAACCCGCCCGTTAAGCCAGGTACCCGTTTGTAACCTTAACGGGTAACCGTTTCACCCCTAGTGTTAACCCTTTGCTGTCTAATTGGGCATGCGCTGTGTGCCATGTGCACGATCACATCGATTCAAACTTGAACTTTTTATATGCAGCCCCACAACTCTCTGTCTAGCTATCGATAAGTCAGCCACTCAGGTGTGCCTATATACGGAGACTCCCTCGATGTAGGCTAAGGCCTGTGGAGAATTCATAAATAGAAAAATTTACAAAACCCAATCAGGCATCTGAGATGCACGAGACCGGCCCTGCTATCAATTTTAGTATGCGCTGTCAGTTTAGGTTGAAATCGATCTACCGGTGCCACTGAATGGTTATTGAAAGAAACGAGGTGCAAGGCGAGCGGGGAAGAGACTCGGCGAGCTGTGAGCAACTGCGAGCAACTCACGGCAAAGAATTGCAGTCAAACAGTGCGGGACGGCGCCGTCACGGTGTGTAACTGAGAGACTGTTTCATGCACAACCGTGCACTCCGGCATCAGACAACATGATGGTGGTGGTGGTGGGCAACCCTCCTCATGGCAAACAATACCACCTATTCATAGTGCTGGCAAAACAAAGATTCTGTGAAAGCTGTCAAGAAACGCCAAAGTTCATTTCCACTCCAGCCACTCCCGGTGTGGTCGGATTCCACTCCAAGTACACCTACTCCGGATTCGGCCAAACGATCACGCTCGTCTTGCTATCAATAATTATATTAATTGATAGCATTTTTAACCCCCCCCCCCCCCCCCGCTATTGTGAATGAATGTACTACAAAAGTCCTGCTCAATGAAATCCAGTCGTGTCGCTCATGTTTGCGCCTTGCATCATTTCCCAGCCCAGTGTTCACGGGTCTGGGGCTGCACAACGCCCGGCATGGTGTACAAGTTGAGTGACGCCGTGACTGGATTTCACTGAGCAACACTGTACCACTGCTGCACTGCACTGCACTGCACTGCACTGCACTGCACTGCACTGCATGAGACTGACTCAGTGGTTTCTAGTGCTGTGCATGGGGTTGGTTCAATGAGCAACACTGCACTGTACGGCATAGACCTTATGCCGCACAGTGTATCAAGAGTCCATACCCCAGAGTGTGCAACGCCACACAAATCTCTCTCTGTCACGACTCGTTTTCAACATTACGTCATCTTCATGTAGCTGCGCGTGCAGGCCGCGACATTCGCTACATGAAAATGATGTAATGTTGAAAACGAGTCGTGACAAGACCCTATCGCGCGTTGCACACTCTGGGGGATATGGACTCTTGGTTATATAGATGTGCCGCGGCCCGCCGGTATTCAGTACTGGCACCGTAGGTGTGTACAGACCCGGTCACTGGGTGTTCATTGTGTGCTATGCATCGCTGGGTGTTCATTGTGTGCAATGCATGCGCATTTGACCAATTTTAGCCTCATAATTATTAATGGCAAACAGTCGCTTCTCAAGCTTCTTCACTTTGTCTAGAACTAATAACTAGCTAGATCTTTGCCAGAAAATAGTTTTCGTAAGAAATGCCTTCAGCGCCCGTTTCTTAGTGGAAATAGCAGTAAACACAATAGGGTCCAGCACATTCAACACCCGACCGGGTCTACGGGATTCTACGAGATTTTACAGGATTTCATACATCTGTACCACGTGCATAAGGCTCAATTGTAGTGGCACTCAGCAGCAGCTCAGGCTATTCGGCACTTAACCATGTCAGCTCGCCGCGTGTAAGATTCTCTTACCATTCCTTCGCTGGACAACTTATCGAGGTTGGGAGTCATGGCAACGGGGTTGTTCGCGACGCCCATCACGTCGAAACGCATCTGATCGGCCATCAGTAGGATGACGTTGACCTCGCCGGCCGCTAGCTGCTCCGTCGACGCCGCCGGCGTTGCGTTCCTAGCGAGCGCCCCTTGCTGTAGCAATATAATATCTAGTAGCAGTAGCGCCGCTAACAGCAGCCTTGAGCCATACCTGCACTGTGCCATGCTTAGTATGTAGCCACGCTCTACTGGTGCCACAAGCAAGTGCTAGTGCCGCGCTACTGTATAATGTACTGATCTAGCTGGTCAAACTCACTTCGCCAAAACGCTGTAGCAGCTGTTCCGTTCGCTAAAAGCAGACAGTTTCGGATAGATCATAGATCTGCTGGCAAAGGGTTTCTCCAAACACTGGGACTGGTGTTCTAGCGTGTACGCATAACCTGGATTCAGCTTGTTGTCACCCGTTCGCAGCTAGGGCACACAAGGATGATGGGCGGTAGAGAATTATTTCTCCGCTCCCCCCATGGTATAAGGCCCAACGACCGAAAATCATTGGAATTATCTTGACAGTGCAGGCAGCCCCGCGGCTGCATCGTTGATTCCATACCGGACTTGGCATCGGGCTCGAGCTCAACTACATCATTCTACGTAACTACGACTATTGCAGTATTGAGTATTGTACATAGCAGTACAAGGCAGCTAAGCACGGCCGCTCAGGACTAGTCCGAGTCTGAGACAAGACGATCGTCCAAATCCTGGAGAATTCTGAACTGTCAAGACGTCTCCTTGTCACCAAAAATAATGCTTGCTACGTACTATTACCATTGTACCGGTACTTGTGACAGCAAACCCAGCATGCTGCACGTGACAAAAATAAAACGCACGACCAAAATTTTTGCAGTGACAAAAAACGTCACCAAGCAAAAGCGCGCTACGCCTCATGAGTCATGATCGCGATATCGATCAGCGCTGGTCGAGTCGTAGCATTTTTATCGCTCCGATCCAGGGAGTCATAAAAGACCGTATTTTACAACTCCTTGATCTGATCCCTCTCCTCACTCTGATCACTTGCAACAAGACTGACTTCATGGACACTCTTCGACCCGCCCACAAACGGAACTTTTTCTACATTTTATGTACTCATGCACCCGCCCCACTGGTGCCGGCCATGCACACACACGCATGCACACACACACCTTGGACGCGCTGCCATATTCTGGCTATGCGGACCCCATGGTTGGGGGGGGGGGGGGGTGAGCAGGTTCGGAACAGTAGGGGCGATGACAGGATAGGTCCTGTGGTCTACTGAAACGCCAACCGCAATTGCAAACGATGCACAATGAGCTATGGTCTATGCTAATTACTCTGGCCGAGCCACGGCTGCACTTGTGACGCTTTATGCCTTGGCGCGATAACACACAGCGGTTGCAGCGGGCGCAGGGGAAGCTGCAGCGTTCGCAGGACATATTGCACAAGCTGCCAAAGCGTTTGGCGCTCTGAAGAAATCGATATTCCACGATGTAACACACACACACACACACACACACACACGTACACGCACCCACCCACCCACACATTACATGAGTGTATACCCAATAAGTTATTGCCACTCCTAACTTAGTTAGCGAGGCTGAGGGCTGAGGGCAATGCATACACAGTTTCAAAACGGGAACACGCTAATAAATAGAAATCAAAAATCACAGCAAGCGCGAGAACGTGTGTTTGCGTGCGTGTCTACGTGTGTCAAGAGGGTCAGTTATAGGGAACGGTAGACATAAGCAACTCTAGTCCAGCACCGTGGGGCGCCATGGCAACGACAAGCGCTGCAGTCTAAGAAGCAAGGCAAACGTCGTGAGAGCCAACAGGAAACACGGCCAGGGGGGGGGGGGGTATGTGTGCTGCTGAGCAGGGCCGCCGACGCCACTGGTACGGCTGCCGTGAGAGCCAACAGGAAACAGGGCCGGGGGGGGGGGGGGAGGCGTGCTGCTGAGCAGGGCCGCCGACGCCACTGGTACGGCTACCGTGAGAGCCAACAGGAAACAGGGCCAGGGCCAGGGGGGGGGGGGGGTATGCGTGCTGCTGAGCAGGGTCGCCGACGCCACTGGTACGGCTACCGTGAGAGCCAACAGGAAACAGGGCCAGGGGGGGGGGGGGTATGCGTGCTGCTGAGCAGGGTCGCCGACGCCACTGGTACGGCTGCCGTGAGAGCCAGCAGGAAACAGGGCCGGGGGGGGGGGGGGGGTATGCGTGCTGCTGAGCATGGCCGCCGACGCCACTGGTACGACGGGCAGGGGTATGCGTGCCGAGCAGGGCCGACGACGCCACTGGTACGGCTCGCATGGCCATGCCACTCTCCGCCAATTCCAGATTTCACAGATGTCCAGTGCATGATCAAGTGTGTGCAGGTACATCATGTCCTGTGCAGGTACATCATGTCCTGTGAGGACTACTGAACTAATTGTAGACATGCACATTACAGTGTATCTGTTGCTAGCGATATGTGATGCTGCAACAGCTGGAACAACTGGAACAGCCAACAACAAGCTGGAACAGCCAACAACAAGCTGGAGCAACCAGATGTGATGCTGCAACAGCTGGAACAACCAACAACAACAAGCTGGAACAACCAACAACAAGCTGGAACAAGCAACAACAAGCTGGAACAACCAACAACAAGCTGGAACAAGCAACAACAAGCTGGAACAACCAACAACAAGATGGAACAACCAACAACAAGCTGGAACAACCAACAACAAGCTGGAACAACCAACAACAAGATGGAACAACCAACAACAAGCTGGAACAAGCAACAACAAGCTGGAACAACCAACAACAAGATGGAACAACCAACAACAAGATGGAACAACCAACAACAAGATGGAACAACCAACAACAAGATGGAACAACCAACAACAAGATGGAACAACCAACAACAAGATGGAACAAGCAACAACAAGCTGGAACAATCAGATGTGATGCTGCAACAGATAGCTAGAGATGAATCATCCCATGACACTGACATAGGGCATGCGGAAATTATCTGCCCTGGCCGACCTGGGGCCGCATCACCCCTTGGGAGCTGGCCCTGGGCCTGCACTGCTGTGTGTGTGTGTGTGTGTGTGTGTGTGTGTGTGTGTGTGCGCGCGCGCGCGCGTGTGTGTGGTGTGCGGGCTAATACGTCAAGTGGATATAAGAGTTAGTCTACGACAGATTCCGGCAACGCTGCCCGGGATCATGGATCATCCAGAGACAGAAACAAAGGGTTTTGTGAAGCCAAGTCACACAGCCTTATGAGTTATGGGCATCTTTCTGCGGCGTAGTGGAAGATAGTCACTTCTTGGCGGTTCTTAAAACCACACCTACGTGCTTGTAGAGAGATGTGGTCAAGACAAGCAAGAGACCACCGTCCGGGATAATTATCCGGTATTGAGCTACTGTAACTGAAGGCGAAGATTGCACCGTGGACATTCTGCCAGATGAGAATGTCACGATGCGCGCGCGCGCGCGGGGGGGGGGGGGGGGGGGAGTCCCGGCTACATGACATCATACTTGCCAGTGGCAGGACATCAAGATCAGGGCTACCCATACACAGCCGTACAACACATTTGTTGATAAGGAGTCACTGGCAGGGAGCAGCCATCCAAGGATCATACGTGAAGGTACACCTGGAGAAAAGAGCCCAGGCGGTTTCAAGCAACGCATGCACACACACATCCACGCATCCATCCATCCATCCATCACACACACACACACACACAAGCACACACACACACACACACACCATGTATACGCACACACACACACACACACACACACACACACACACACACACACACATACACACAAGCACACACACACACACGTCTTATTCCAGCAATTACTTTAGAAGAGTGCTACTGCATGTCACCTTGATCCTATGAGAGTTGCGGCGTTCCTACGGATGCGAACAGCTCAGTGTAGCTGAATGAAACGCCAACCGTGAATATTGTTTGGCCAATATCGGAAAAATTACTATGGATACTAGAGGTGTGGTGCTGAGAGACTTCCTATCTTGTGAGTCAGTGCCAGGCCAGGCGGGCGCTGTGTCAGCCCCAGAGATCTGCAAACACTGAGATGTGAACTGGTGCAGGGCGCTGTGTCAGCCCCAGGCCAGCCAACACTGAGATGTGAACTGGCGCAGGGCGCTGTTCAGCCCCAGATCTGCAAACACCGCGATGTGAACTGGCGCAGGGCACAAACTCACTTGGCCCATCACGCGATCGGACTTCCACCCAGCACCACTGTGGCATGGCACTTGGTGCATGCAAATACAATGTACAAACTCTTCCAGTGCACCCAGTCACCCGAATCGAACCCTGCATCAAACTTGACCAGCCATTTTCTTCGCTATTTCGTGAGGATCAAGGCATACCTGCACAAGACAGCGGGACCTGCTCATTTCTGGCTGCAGGCAAACACCCGCTGCAGACAACAAAGTTGAAAACGCCCACTTCATTCTTTCTCTTAATACTGCAGAACTCTCTGCACACACACACTCAGCCCACACACACACACATGCACACATACATGCACACACACACACACACATGCACACACACACACACACACACACACACACATGCACACACACACACACATGCACACACAAACACACACACATGCACACACAAACAAACACACACACACACACACATCATGCCGCAATAGTGTAGAAGCACAACACGCTTACCCCGGGCACGAGAATCCACTGCTTGCTATCTTCGGCAAACAGAATGCTTATCGCTTTCAGCTCCTTGATATCGGCCTTGAGTTTGCAGTCAAAGGTGCCTTTTGTGTCTGGAGTACAGAGATCTTGCCAGGATGGAGATGTCTGCAAACAAAAACAAACACACCGAGAATGACAAGAACAAGGATAATGAGGAGGACAAGAACTTCAATCCTAGAGCAGATCGGACCATCCAGAAAGGAACAGAGAGACTGATTTGTCTGTATGTCTATGTGTGCATGTGTGTGCGTGTCCCATATGATGCGGTGGTATGTGCAGTCGATTTCCAATCGAGAGGTTGCGGGTTCAATTCCCGACAATTATGGCCGCACACGTCTCTCTTCTCTTTCTCATTCTCCTAGCTCTTCTTTCATTCTCCTGGGTGGTTACCAATAGCCAGTGTATGCCGGAGTATGTGGTGTGGCGTGTGTGTAAAAAAGAAGAAAAAAGAAAATGAAAAATAGGGATTCACTGACCAGAAAAAGTCACTTCAATCAGCTGTGTGGTGGATACCAGGCTAAAATTAGTGGCAGTCAATTCATCAGCCTTGCAAGCTGTTGAATGGTGTAATCCCAGCACAAATTGCTATGTCTAACATAGCTGTTCGCTATCATCGCTTCCGCGATGGGCAGGTCTGAGCCTCTGAGGTGTGTGTGTGTGTGTGTGTGTGTGTGTGTGTGTGTCAGGGAAAGAGAGAGAGAGAGATAGAGAGAAACACACACACACATACACATCCAGAGACACCAACATACCGGGTTTTTGCTGTTTTCCTCCTGCGTGAGATACTGCAGTTTGACTGAGCTAGCAAAGGAATCGCCGGGATGATCCGTATTCCCGGACGCGATGAGAATTCTTTTCAGAATTGTCGGCGAGCCAAACGTAACGGTAATACGATCATCCCGCGACTGACCCATACCCCAGAAGAAGCCGGTCCCGAGGTACGCCGCCTCGATCGTGTTCTGCTGGAAGTGTTTTATGGAGGAGGATATGACGGCGGCGGGGTTGGTGTGTAGCGAGGGCAGGTTCTCCTGCTTGAACGACTTGTCCTTGAGCTTCTGTATCTTGCCGTCCAGCGAGGAGTACTGGCCCACGTGCTGGAATAGCGACGGCTTGAAGAGCACACGGTGTGCCTTCTTCCGATTGCGACAATCCTTATAGTCCTTCTCCGGATGACAGTAGCGCACGTAGAACCAGTCGTCGAGCAGCCAGTCCACCGGCTTGTACGGCGCGTTTGCCAGGAAGAAGTGTGCCATCTCCGTCAGGTCGTTGGAGCGGAACAGCTTGCCGATGAAACCGAGGGAGGAGAACTCCAGCACGTCCCACGTGTTGTCCTTCTTGGCACGCTCGACGATGTGTGTGGCGTAGTTGGGCATGGCCTGGATGTCGTCTTCCACCTGCACCGTGTTACACACACACACACACACACAGAACACACAGAGAACACACACACACACACAGAACACACACACACACAGAGAACACACATCTGCTTGGTCATAGAAACACAGAAATACTGTTGCAAAAGAAGCATCCACAAGCGGGATTCGAACCCAGCATCCCTGTCATTCCGGGACAGTGCCCTACCAATTAGGCTACCGGGATCACACACACATACACGCACGCACACATACACGCACGCACACACACACGCACACACATACACACACCTCAGACCTGTCCATCGCGGAAGTGATGATAGCGAACAGCTATGTTAGACATAGCAACTTGTGCTGGGATTACACCATTCAACAGCTTGCAAGGCAAAACACACACACACACACACACACGCGCACACACACACACACACACACACGCACACATACACACATACACAAACAAACATGCACACACACATACACGCACACAAACACACGCGACTAACCTGCAGGTAGTACATACCACGCGAGCGCGCATACATCATCAAGTATGCAAAGTCAAAGACCTGCTTCACACGCCACGTGGCACGGTCTTTTGGGTCATCAAACGATGGCTTCATGCTCTTCAGATCCGGGTAGAGAGCAGGTGGTGGGGCTATAACATCAACCATACCGGATTGGATGTTCTCGGAGAGCTTGGAAGACATCTCCGAGAAAACAAAGTCCACCTTGTCTTTGTCGGTGTCGGCCACCATGACCACGAAGAGGATGTCCGTCGGGTCAAACATGGCCAGGTTGGAAATGAGCGACTGTACCGTGGCGAGGAGATAACTCTGCTTACTACGATGTACGGTTGGTATGCCCACCACCAGTCTCACTGTGTAAGCAACACAACAACAACAAGAAGAAAAGCGAGAGAAAGAAATTGCAGTACCGGGCGGGTCAGAAACATCTTTCCGCTCCCGTGGGACAACGCCACCCCATGATCAGGCGTCAGATGCGCCTCCTAAACGGTGGGGGAGGATAGGTCAGATCCACCAACCAGAGGCCAAAGGCCGAAATACAACAAGAAAGAAAGCCAACAGTAGCTGTACGGCAGCCACACATTCAACACAGCTGCAGTGGCAACAGAAACAGTGGAAACAGAAACAGCAGCAGTGACAATAACAACAACAACAACAACAACAACAACAACAACAACAACAACAACAACAGCAGCAGCAGGAGGAGCAGAAAGAGCAACAGCAGCAGTAACAACAGCAGCAGCAGGAGGAGCTGCAACAGCAGCAGCACCACCACCACCGGCACCCCCTTCACGCCATGAAACAGAGAGCGGTTGGAGTGTGACGAAGCCCAGGACCATTCTTACCTCCTGATCGACCCTGGCTGGTCTTGCGTATTGGGTTGAGTGCAGCCATGGAAGAGACATGGTCTAGGCCGGCCACTGTGTCCAGTACCTTTTGTGAGGACTGGTGCAGTAGAGTGTCGAGACCGCCAGCAGCATTGCCACCACCACCACCGGCAGCGACGACCGCCTGCTGTTTCACTGGCTCTAGCTGCTGCTGCGGCTGAACAGCCCGAACACCGACAACAGCGTCGGCGTCTGCTTTCGAATTCTTGAACCCACGTTGCTGGTTGTCAAGCAGATCGCTGCCCAGAGCGCCCAGTTTCCCGGAGAGAGTAGCTGCCGTTGGATCCAAGTGTCCCACCTTTTTGGCGTTCTGAGCGAGGAAAGCACGCATCTCGGCGATCGAGCGCTTCAGCTCCTGGCTGCGCGAGCTGAGCGACTTGATGCGGAAGTGAGCGAGCTCAACATCGCCCACAAAGCTGCCGGCTGTTAACCAACATGCATGTACACATACACAGCAGACAACACAAGCGTGCATGAGCACGCACACACACACACACACACACACACACACACGCACACACACACGCACACACATACAAACACACACATACCTCAGACCTGCCCATCGCGGAAGCAATGATAGCGAACAGCTGTTAGACATAGCAACTTGTGCTGGGATTACATAAATCAACAGCTTGCAAAGCTGATGAATTGACCGCCACTAATTTTAGCCTGGTATCCACCACACAGCTGATTGAAGTGGCTTATTCTGGCCAGTGAATCTCTGTTTTTCACACACATACATCAGACTCAGACATGCCCATCGCGGAAGCAATGATAGCGAACAGCTATGCTAGACATAGCAACTTGTGCTGGGATTACACCATTCAACAGCTTGCAAGGCTGATGAATTGACCGCCACTAATTTACACACACACACACACACACACACACACACACACACACACACACACACACACACACACACACACACACAAACACGCACACACACACACGCACGCACATACACACACGCACGCACACACACGCACGCACACACACGCACACACACACACACACACGCACGCACGCACACACACATACACACATACACACATACACGCACACACACACGCACGCACACACACACACACACACACACACGCACACAAACACGCACACACACACACACACACATACACACACACACACACACACACACTGGTATGTAGGTACTTGTACATGTACAAGCAAGAGTACCTAACCCCCAGAGAATGCAACGCCTGATCCAGCTCTGCATACCATGCCATAGAGTCTTGGTCGAGCGTAATCGGATCTTTGCGTCATAATACCGTACGCATCTGAGGGGAACCCGGGGAGTCGCGGGTACTCTAGGATCAAAAACAACGGTGCCCTGCCTCGAGACCGGCCTTGCGCTGGTGTGGAGCGTACGCATGCCATCAGAAGATTCGATTACGCTCGACCAAGACCCTATGCAGAGCTGGATCAGGTGTTGCACATTCTGGGGGGGGGGGGGGGGGGGGGTGTGGTACAAGAGTACATACCCCCCCCCCCCCCTCAGTACACTGTCCAGACCCCCCCTCAGTACACTGTACAGACCCCCTCCCCCCCAGAACACCGTACAGACCCCCCCCCCCCTCAGTACACTGTACAGCCTCTTCCCCCCCCCCCCCCAGTACACTGTACAGACCCCCCCCCCCCCCCCCAGAACACTGTACAGACCCCCCCCCCCACACACACACAAAGTGTGTGCAACGCCTGATCCAGCCCTGCATAGGGTTCGATGGTGCGGTCTTACATTTGCAATGTACACGTCATTGGTATGTACAGAAGTTTACACGTGGACCGTACATGCACACACCAGTGAGTACATAACTGTTCCCGGGTGTGATGCATACAGGCATGTACACCTGCCCGTTCGCATGTTCTCAAACTACGGACATGTACCATAAAATGCGTATCATCCAAACCTATAAAATAGGGAGGTTTCGCTCAACGTAATTACGTATGAAAATCCGTATGTTGTACGCGCCGGGGAGCGAGGGCAACTTTCATACGTAAATCTCTCTACGGATTTCCGCAGGAAAGCTCTTTCCTACGTTGGGTACTTCTACTCATTATTACAAGGCGGAAAACTTCCTTCTGCCAGCGGAGAGGGCTCAACACAATAATGTGGAGCACTATTACACACAAAAGGCACAACGTATAGTCGCAACTGATGATTGCATTGAGCAAGAAACTGAGTTACGACAAATCTGTAAACCTCTGTTGTGCCTTTTGTGTCTACTCATTATTATAGATTTTCATACGTGACACAGTGATTATTTGCCAGCTACACGTACATACGCTGTCAAGTAAATACGCAGGCTGGGCGTATAATAAAAAATTTAAAAAAAAACAAAAAAAAACAGAACCCGCTGTTGCAATATGTGCGAATGCCAGACTGTCAATATTTCAACACATGTTACGAGTGCACTTTGAATTTATGGTACTTGTATGTGCTACCAAGAGTATAATACTCTTGGTGCTACCAAGAGTATAATACTCTTGGTGCTACACAAGAGAGAGATTGGAAGCTTTGTTACAACTACGAGTACTCTTGGTGCTACTAAACTTATTATGCATAACCGCGAGCGGCTGCATTGTCACGCTCCTTCTCATATTATTCTAGCTATAGAACTGGTTTGTTTAGTGATTCATACCATGTGACCATGTTCCACTGATAATAGTCACAAGAAAACGTTCTGGAATTTTCATTTTAATAATTGTTTTCACGATTTATTTATTTCCCTTTTTTGCATGCACGCACTGGCCGCACTCCAGTGCAGCCGCCATCTTAGCGTCGACACGCGATCGCGCGGTCGCTACGATACACTTCCCAAATTGGCTGGCTTTTGCACACAGCAAAATCTATTTTGGTTTCTCATCTTTGTACACAGTACGCTGGCACGGCATGCGTGCGCTGCCGTGCGAGCGAAGCCTTTTTCGGAGCGCTCGCTTGTAGTGTTTCGTGTCCTTCTCTCGGTAGTTTTATCTCCAAACAATATTCTTTATGTGGTGAAAGAAGAGTAAGAACGAACCAGGTCTCTCTCCCTTCGTGAAGTTGTCGCGACAGCTCCTGGCCAGCTGTCCACGACGGAGTGTGCATGCAGTGTAATAAGGGAAAGTGAAGTTTTATCACACCCGCAGCCTGAGCAACCTGCAGCCTGACGGATCATTTAATTGATATTAATTTAGTGTCACACATACCTTCTTGAACTGGCTGAGTTCTGGTCCCTCCCTGGCTCACCAATAGGAGAACACAGCAAAAAGCCAGCGCAAACAATAACGCATTTTTCGCATTCGGCAACTTGCGCCACATCCCTGGTCATCAGAACGGTGATGGGTGCCAACTGTCGTCGTTCGCATTGGCTGGTACACCGGGAAGTCAGCTTCATTTACTCTCCAGAATCGTCAATCCAGAACTTCTACGCTGTTCAAAATACGAAGTCAGTGCTTCAACAAACTGCATATTTTCGCTGTGTACACAAATGCAAACGGACACACTCACATCGAAAGAAGAAGCTGCTCTTTGCTCCTGAATGAGGGCATTATTATTACTAGTATGTCAGAAGAACAAGGCCAATGAAGGCGTGTTTGATGCTACAGTACTTCAAGTTTCATGCTCTTGCAATCATCACATCAGGCAACAATGTCATGAAGAAAGAAAATTTGAAACTTACTTGACTGTTTTAGCACTGCTAGCCAAGAGTACATGGGGGGTCATGTACCACATATGTAGTCTAGAACATACATGTACAAGAGTTCATTACAGGTTATGAACTCTTGCATGACGAGACTACAAGAGTCCATACAGTACATGCACTATAGTATACCGTACTCGCGTTAAAGGGGCCGTTTACATGAGGAAAATAAGCCAGGGCTTATTCGCCTCGGGCTAATTTTTCAACCGTTTCATGACGGTTGTACGGGGCTGAGCTCAGGTGAGTGACCAGGTGACTGCGAGTTCTGCGCGCATTTTATTTTTCAAATCGCACATGAACGCAGTGGTAAATGTTCGTGTCTGATGAAATAATTAATTTGGATCAAGAAATGCCGGCTCAGGTTTCTACTGCCTTTCCAATTGTCACTTATTTTTCGAGAAGGTGAAGGATGGGCTAGGACCTTCCACTGGACAAAAAACAGAAGAAAACATACCAAGAAATAAATAAAAGAGACGCACTGTCCACGGCCACATTCTCTCAGGTTCACGAGGCAAAATCGAAAAATACGGAAAAACTCGCTTATAAGCCCTTCTTGACCGTTAAATTAAGCCCTGGGGCCGGGGTTGATAAGGCGGGGGTCATGACGTCAAGGGTAGGGCTAGTTCGCGGCTAGTTCAGCTCGGGCCGAGCTGAATAAGCCCGCCTGACCATGTAAACGCGCGCTCTAAAAATGACTGGGTATTACAGATCAAGGCGGGCTTATCGTACGCCTACTCAGTCGATGCGCCAGAGCGAAAAAAGCCGTTTTTATTATCCAGGCATAACGAGCTGCGAGACATCACCGCCTCACTGCTTTCACGCGTCGCACATGACGTAAGTGTGGAGCCGTCTCTCCAGCCACTTTCCGGGGAACGGATGAGGTATCGTACTGCAATCAGCGAGGATGGCGCCCGCCTAGATGTTGCTGCCAGCGGGGTGTGGGGCGGCCGTTTCGAGAGGACATTCTTTGATGTCCGGGTATTTAACCCTTTTGTCCGATCGAACACCGCTCCCTCCCTCAACAGCACGTTCACTAAGCACGAGAAGGAGAAACGGCGACACTATGAAGAGCGTGTTAGGGAAGTAGAGAAGGCATCGTTCGTCCCCTTGGTGTTTTGTGCCTCCGGTGGTCAAGGCAAGGCTGCCTCTGCTTTCCTCAAGCGCATTGCATCAATGCTGGCCGAGAAGCGGAAGGAACCGTTCTCCATGGTGATGGCTCACCTTCGTTGCCGCCTAGGGTTTGCCCTCATCAGATCGGCGATTGCAAGCTTAAGGTGGCGCTACACCTTTCCGGCACCTTTCAGAGGGTCAAAAATCGAATTTTGGATTTTGGCCCCATTTTCGCTTCCAGACCCTCTGGGAAGGTCCCAACCGCACATCCCGAAAATTTGAAGTGAATTGCTTCAGTAGTTTTTGAGATATGGACTTTCAAAGGCCGCTATTGTCAAAAATAGTAATTGTAAATTCAAAAATTCAAATTTTAACGCATTAGAATTTACATTACACATGTTTTGTGTGTAACTTTGATTTCGCTGGCATTTTGGCGATGAAACTTCGCGGAAAGGCTGAAAATCTCCCTGGTTTTACCTTGCTGCGCCCCACGCAGAGCTGACATCACCATCGGCATCAGCAGTGCCACTGCGCATGTCACCACACACAGTGCGCATGTCGTACTTAAAAATTTTGGTAAATATTTTTATACCAGCAATCTCCATTCTCTAAACTGTAGCTCTTTATCAGTTTAGCTGCTTTGTTGGCTTTCATCTGTTTTGTGGAACCTTCCTTGATCACTATGGGCAAGAGGCAGTACGTAGGCCGTCCTGGTCGTCCAAAGAAGCGCAAATTCCATGGAAATCAATGTGCTAAATAATTTATAAAATTGTCGAGTGAAATTACGAAAATTGTCGTGGCAGAGGACTCTTCTGTGTTGCCAGAAGATAGGGATGATGCCGAAGTCCAACAGTCTAATTCTGGTGACATCTAGTGACAGTGACAGCGACAGCTCTGGAGATGAGCCGGTGATGATTACCTGACGACCGGGAGCCGAATTATTTATTTAGAATGTTTACAAAATTTACTTGCTGATAGTGCCTGTTGCTCAGCGTGCCATGGCACCCTTACACTATGTGAAGTACGTCGTGAAGGATTGGCTTCAACTCTATCGCTGGCCTGTGACAGCTGCGAGGCTGAAAGCCGTGAAGCTATGTCCAAGAAGACTGGGCACTGCTCTGATGTGAACAGAAAGCCGGCTACTGCAATGACATGGATAGGACGTGGGCATCCCTTGTGAAATTCTGCACTGTCATGAATATGCCTGCACCCATGAATGTCTCTGCATACCAGAAGCACACCAAGGTACTAGCAAAGGCCAGTAGAGTTGTTGCCACCAGCAGCATGAGCGTGCAGCTGCGAATGCCAAGGAATTGGCGTCTTCCCCTGATATTGCCGTCACTTACGACGGAACGTGGATGCGACGCGGCTTTACCTCGCTACATGGAGCGTTTCTTGCCATCTCGTGGGATACTGGCAAAGTCATCGACTACAAAGTCCTCTCCCGGCACTGCCAGCAGTGCACAATATCCCAGAGGAAGCTGAGCAAACATGAGATCAGCAAGGAGCAGTATACTGCCAACGTACGTGGACATGGCAATGACCTGCAAGGCATGGCACGCGCGATATGGGCATCGGTCATGCATTGTATTTCAACAGATGACAAGCCGCAGCATCAGTTCTGCCCCCCTGGACCAGATAGTTTGTGCAAGTGGCAGAGTCATCAAGCTGGTGGCCCTGAATACCAACATCAGAAGAGCCTGCCGGATGCAGTCTTCAAAGTCATCAAGCCTGTGTACTTGCGGCTGACTGAGAGGCAACTTCTCGAGAAATGCTTGCGTGGCGCTACTCAGAATCGGAACGAGTGCATCAATGGCCTCATTTGGCAGATTTGTCCAAAGACTGGCTTTTGCTCGTCAAGGACTGTCCAGACAGCTGTTGCCATAGCCACTGCTTGCTTCAACGAGAAGAACAAGGCCTTGGAGGAGATTCTTGAAGCGATGGGCCTAACAGCTGGTCACTACACGCGGACAGCGCTTGAGAAGTTGGACCGTGAGCAAGCCAAGAATGCAGCCAGGAAATCCTCAGATGAAGTGAAGAGTGCAAGGAAGAGGCGAAGCAGAGTGAGGTAGGGTGTGGAGGAGCAGACTGTTGATGACGAAGGTCTCACTTATGAGACTGGGGCCTTGTAAAAAGTAGCTGACGTGGTGGACACAGATTGTAAATACATGTATTATACTGCAATTTTCCCCTTTTTTTGGCTATTCCCGCAACTCTTAACCAAGCTACTGAGATAACCGTGGCCTGCAGACCCAACAAAGTATACATTTTTGAAATCTGTGAAGCATTAGCTAGACATTGAACCGAAGTTTCAGGGGGCTGCTCTTCATATGCTCATGATAGCACAGGTCAAACCTTTTGTTATTTTTTGCGCTTATCGTTATTTTTTCTTCAATCTCCTGTACTTGCCGGCTTGTTTTGCTGGTGTCCCCTTTCTTTGGTTCAATGTCTTGCCATGTGTGTGTGAGACACTGCAGTGGCACTCATTTTATTGCATAGGACGCATGGTCTTCTATATTGTGGTTACAGGCGAACCTTTCGGCGGATTTTGCGAACAGATCCGTCACATGTATGCCAACAGTAGATAGATGGCATCTTTGGCTTTATGTTTGCTGTTTCTGAAACGGGTATATCCAAGGAGTAAATGCTGAAAATTTTATAAGAATCTGTTGACCCATTGCTGAGATATGTGTGCTTGCGTGGGACGGTGCCGGAAAGGTGTAGCGCCACCTTAAGAGGTCATCGATCCAGGCGAGCACCTTTGGATCAGCAGCTGGAGTGCCCCTCAGCTCTAGTGAATGCTGAGTGTCGTCTGGGTTAACCCTCACCTCTTGTTATATGGCTGTATTGTTTTTCGCTATTAGTTAGTTTTCTTTGTTATGATTTCTTTTTTTCTTTTTCTTTTTACCAGGCGTGGGCCATCCCCTGAATTCATAGGTGCCAAACATTCTTTTTCTTTAGTTTTCTTTGTTAATATGATTTCTTTTTTTTCTTTTTCTTTTTACCAGGCGTGGGCCATCCCCTGAATTCATAGGTGCCAGACATTCTTTTTTCTTTCTTTTTCTTTTTACCAGGCGTGGGCCATCCCCTGAATTCATAGGTGCCAACTCTTTTTAATAATATGTGTACAAAAATTTTTTTTATTATCCCGGTCAGCTCATTTTGTGCAGAGGTGAAGATGACGATTCCGTGAAGAAGTAATGGCTGACGTTGTCGAACTTTCAGACCCACTGGAGGCGTTTCACAGCCTGGAGCCCGCCGATAAGGAATTCGATGTGACTTGAGTAAGTACTAAAGTGATCCGTAATATTTTTGGGGTCAGCTATTGAGCCATTGGGAAGTTTCGTGTTGTCGTTTTCTTACAGTACAGTCGTAGAAATTTCCTCCCTCCTTTGGTATTCAGCCAGTAATGGACTCCATCAAATCTTACACAATATCCGAGATAGCAGAAAGATAGTCCCAACCAACCTGTGTAAAGATTTGGTCATGTCTATGTCCAGACCTACTGCTAACTCAAATGGCACGAAATGAAAGAATTTTTTTGTAATACGTGTAAAATCCACGAAAGTGACATTTCATCACACCTAAGTTTCAATATATCCCAGGTTACAATAGTTTCTCGCCCATCTAGCAGCAGATGGATTGTGTTCCCGGTATATCACCATTTCCAGTGGAAGTATTGTGTTCCACATCTATCCATGCTCATTGAAACTCAGGCAAATGTGTATATTTGTGTATTTCAGGTCAGAATTCGTAGTGCATTCCATGTTTCTAGCATATACGCCATAATTCCAGTAAACAATAACACGCACGCATCACCTGTGTGCACATTGACTCAATCTTGGTCCAATTCGTTGCTGGTTTCTTGCTTTTCAGTCTCCTCAAATTAAACAACTTTTTGCTTACTGGAACTGTTGGA